AGGATATAAACTCCATGGGGACAGGGACCTAGGATAGCTCCTAACACAAGAAAGGCATTCAACAAATACCACTGAATGATTAGGTCAAATTCTGGTTCTCAGAACCCCCATACTGTGCCGCTGCTTGAACTCTTGTCAGTCTCCTTAAATATCTCTAAGACAGGACCGCCACAGCGGAATTTGGAGTCAGAACGATCTGGGTATAAATCTCTTCTTTGCCTTTTCCCAGTTGTATAACCTGCAAGGTGCTTATCAGCTTTGAGTCTTAATTTAGGTACTGGATAATGGGTATAATAGTCCTACTCTATAAGGTTGTAGTACAAATTAAATGATATATATAATTTATATAAAAAGCAGAGCAAAGTGCTTGGCCTATAGTATGTATCTAATTGTTCTTTTTCCTTGCGTCTTCCATAAATTACAGTAGCTAATATTTACTTAGGTGTCTATTCTGTGACAGGTGCTAAATACCTTACATGGATTAACTAATCCACATAAAAATTCTACACAATAGACACTATAAATATCCCTGTGTTACAGGCTGAGCCACAGAGTGGTTTAAGCAATTTACCTAAGGTCACACAAGTAGAAAACCACAGAGCCCCAACTTGAACCCAGCAGTTCAATCCAATTTAAGAGGTAGTGAAACAGTCATTGATTATCTTTATTGTGACCCTACAGTAAGAAGTACATTTCACATTGTAACCCATCGCATGTGTCGGTTCTGAAGTGGAAACAAGTTTTCACAAAATAATATTCACCCTTACTATATGGAATGCATTCTGATCGTTTCTCTTCAATTTAATTAAAAAATGTTATTGACCAACTTATTGAATGTCCCCTTCATGAGTCAAAACCATACTTTGAAAAAGTATTGTCTAAATTACAATAATCCAACTACTCTTACCTTCCAGTTACCTCAACTTCTACTAGAAAAACTCTGATAGTTATCAGTCTAGACTTTTATATTTCATTTCAGATAAAATCCTTATTAGTTAAGATGCTGATCTCCTAAGACTCAGATGTGCTCCCCATGCAAACTCTCTGGCAATTATGGAAAAACCAGCTCTTGTCAGATGAGATTCAAGCAATTCTTTCACTCTTCAAAAATTATTTACCACTATTAAAATTCAATACAAGCTGTCCTGTGTTAGAACAATTGATGCAGATGTCTGTCTTTCCCACTAGACTGTCACGCCAAGGGCAGAAACATGTTTTATAAATACTCTTGTGGTCCCAAATAGTGAACTGACATGCAATGGAGAACACAGCAGCTGATTATAAAGAACTGGCTCTCAAGTGTCAGGTGGTGTTTGAGACTCAAGACAAAAGACTACTTCTGTACCCACTGTCTTATATATTATCTAAACATCTAAGGCATCTTCTTTACCAACCCAGTGTTGTAGGTGGTTTACCAAAATCCTTCTATTTGGACAACTTGCATTGACTCTGCTCTTAATTTCCCAATGCCATCCCTATCTCATGGCTCCTTCTCCTTCCTGCATCTTTCTAAGCTAACAGAGCTTACATTTATGCTTCTGGCAGAAGTTTCTCCCTACAGACCACATTCCCATGAAAACTAAACTGAAATGGTTTCTGGGTGAGAGGGAGTACATTAGCATTTTTCAGTTGACCTTTGTAAGTCTTGATCCTCATCTTTTTTGTGAGTTGGTGTATGAGCTAGTGTTTATTTCTATAGATATTATAAAACATATTTCTGAGCACAGGCTATGTATCCAAAGGCAAATAAATAAAACAAAGAAAAGGCCCTTGGAACCCTCAGTTGCAAGGCAGGAAATTTAGACGGCAGGAAGTGGCTATGAGCTTTTCCGCCAAGCAATACTTCAATTTCCCCACCCTCAGGGAAAGATTATCCTGTTGTTGTTTTAATCCACCAGATGCTGAGCAGTTACAGAAAGGGAACAAACAACTGGGGGAGATATTGCCACCTGTTTATGTTGGCTTTTACCAAACAGGATTGGCCACCAGTGTTGAGGGTAAGGGAGGAGCTAAGGTGAGAACAGGAAATGCTAACTCAAGTTGTCAGCTTTCTGTTTAAGGGGGGAAAAGGTGCCAAGGAAGTACGTGGTCATTCTCGATAGCCAAGAGGCAAAGGCAGGATGATGCATCTTGTTTACTAATATAGCAGGGCTGGCCTTAGTGTATGCATGGAGTCACACACGTGACTCATGAAATTAACTTAGCTGCCTACTCTGTATTTATTTTCTCCTTCCTTACTGACTAAAACCTGTATATTACTGGGGGCAGTAATGTCCAAGGAAAGATGAGATTCCTCTGCCTTCCATATAGCTAGCTGTTGTCATGTGATTGCGTTCTGGAAGGTGAGTGTGGCTTCCAGGAAGGCTCTTTAAAGGGTGCTGACTCAGCTGAGTTTGCCCATTTTGTCCTTGCCCGTTTTTTCTTTTCTTTATGCTGCCAGGAATTTCAAATGACAGCTGACGGTCAAGTGGCTATTTTGGACCTTGAGGTGACCTTGAGAAAGGAACCATATTGTTGTGCAGACAGGAGCCTCTATATTGGTCTTGGACTGCCTACCTTTGGAATACTTTTCAGTGAGAGAGATAAGTTTCTTATTCAAGCTTTTGCTGATTTGAGTTTCTGTTAAACGTAGTCAAGCCTGATCCTAACTGAGTTACCTCAACAATTCTTCGCGTTCATGTAACAGAGTCTTCATATCCTCCAAAGCATGGTCGATTCTGTTACCTGATTCTATCTTTCTAACAAGCGTAAGAGAGCTGAGGCATGTCAGATGAGAAAACTGAAGCCGGAACAAAGCAAGTCTCACCCAATGCCACACAACTAGCTACTTGGAGAGCTGCAGGGTTTGGAAGCCAGGTGAGCTCACCCCTAGGATTTTAAAAGCATGGTGGAAGTAGGTGACAAATTTCCCTTAAAAACGATTCTGATTGGTAAAGTAGTGGTTATTTTTAAAAGCAAGCATTTAAGGACAATTTATCTCTTCAGTCAAAAGGAAGTCAAATGTCTCCTATCAAGGGGACTGAAGTCACTGACTTTAAGAACATCAGACTTTCAAGTTGCCTCCAGAATACTACCGCTACATTAAAATGAATTATAGCTCATTGTATTCTTACAACATACATTAAGAGAGCTGAATTCTCAAACAGGCTAAGACATATTTTGAATAAGCAATTAGTAAAATGAATGTGTTACTGCTTTAAAAGCATAACAGACTTGATGATTAATGTAGAGTTGACAAAGTCTTTAAGATGAAAAGGCAATGCAGGTAAAATTGAATCGGGTGGATTCAACACAGGCAAGTTTTAATGAGGCAAATGTCAAGCAAGCATATCGACTTCTTAAAAAACAAAGAAAATCTAAAAGTTTAATTACAAAAACACTTGTACAGAAAACTTGGCATTTCAACAGTTTCAAACACATGTACACACATTTTTTTCTAAAATTTTATTTTGTCAGAAATAAAACACTTTGTCTCACTTTCCTCAGCTGCTCCTTGTGTTTCAATAAAAAGAAAGAAATCTGTAACACTGAATAGGCAACAACTTATTTCTTGAGAAGAACATGTAAGTGCAATAACATCTACAAGTTTACTGGGAAATGTGAATTAGGTATCATGTTAGCCTGTGACCTCATTTACTACCTCCTGGCTGGGCACAGAGGAGAGAGGAGGTGATGCAGACAGAACCTGCTTGTTCTGTGGCAGCTAAATCCCAGCCACCAGTGAGTCAGGTGTGTCGCTGCTAGGAGGGCCAGCCAGCGTGTCAAAAGCAGGCTGTTATTTTGTGAAAATGATTTCAGACTGTAGGCTTTCTTGAGATCTCGTGCTTTCCTGAATATGCAGATGTCTCAAGTCAATGTCAGGTATCCTAGCTAGACTCAGGAGAATGATGATCTTTGGACCAGCTTACAGCCTTTCCTGGTCTACGGCACTGCTAAGAACGCTGTGCAAAACTGACACAAAGGAGAAACAGAGAGTAGGAGGAAGAAAGGAGAGAAAGTATTTGGCAGAAGGCAGACACAAACTTCCAGAACCGGCTTGGATGTCCTGCCACAGACAGTGCATTCCAGCTTGGACTTAGCAGGCAGGGAGTCTGAAAGAAGTCACAGGAATGGCAGGTGAGAGCAGGAAACCAGGAAAACAGAGAAGAGCAGGTGAGCTGGCTAGGTTTACAGCGATAGATAATGATGGGCTCTTATTCTAAAAGCCTGCCAAGTGGTGATACATGGGCTTCGGTACATAGAAATTTGATGTGTGTTCGTGTCAGAATTTTCAAAAAGGTTTTTTGTTGTTGTTTTATTTCCTTTGGGTTAAGAAAGAAATCAGGGGAGGAGATGCTGAGAAGACAGGATGAGGCAGCAACATGACGGGGGTTTCTGGCTTGCACCCTGGCCTGTGAGCATATTGTGAGGGGGCCACACTTCCACCCGCCTTCGGTGGCGTGGTGCCTAGACAATGGGCTCAGCATGCCCTGCTTTGGCTCCAAAGATCTCAGCTGCTACCATCAGCCTTGTGCTCCAGAGCATCCAAATACAACACAACAAAACCAAACCCTGAGGTGAGAAACAGAAACCCTTCTTCCCTTTTGGTGTTTAAAAGAAAAAAAAAGAAATCACTTACTAATTAAGCAGGGAGAAGGAAGGGAAGCCTGTCCTTTTGACACAGACTCTGCAGTTAAGATTACAGAAGGAAGACAAAGGATGTGAGAATTCCCCCGCGTCCTTCTCCATCAGCTGGAGGCTATTCTGAATGGCATTTCCACCCATCCATACCCATGAATCGGTACACCTCAAGCAGACAGGGATTCTCTCTGTTTTCACTTATGATAAACTTTAGGATTTTTTTCAATACCAAATGAGAAACTACTTTTCTTGTTCTGTCCTGTTTACCAATGACCTTTTCCTCAGCAAAAATATTCCACAAGTCACTGCCAACAGATGGGAACAGAAGAGCCTTGCTGGGGCTGGGACGCAGGGTACGTGCACGAGCAATGCTCAGAAAACAGCAGGCAGTACCAAGGAGGAAGGAAAGAGCATTCTCCTTCAGGGCAGCAACCACAAAGCCTCCACGAGGGCTGGCACCCACTGAGCGCTGTGTGGGATACGAAACACAGCCTCACTCCACAGGACACTGTCAACAAGAAGCTCCTTTCTTTGGAGTCACAGCAGGACAATGATGGGAGAAGACTGGGCCTGTCCAATGAGAGAACTCTCCTTCAGAACCCTGCTGAGCAACAAAGCCAAGAGGTCAGAAAATGGAGATGTCTAGCTTGGTGGGGGTGACGGAAATAAAAAAATAACCCCTAAAAGCATTAAAAAAAAGTGACAGCTAGGTAGGAAAACCACTGATAAAACCACAGAGCCACTGATAAAAGAGTCCAATCTGAATGAAGCAGAACAATAAGAAGGCTTCCTTTCTGCTGCAGAAGATGCCAGTCTCAGGGGCGCCTGGTCAGCAGAATATATGCAGGCCCACTTCAACAGAAATACAAATGATAGGAAACTGAAGACTTGGGAGAGTGGCTGTACACGGTCAAAGCTTCACGAAGACGATTCCATAGGAAGTTCACATACATGTTCCTTTTGTTGCTCCCTCATATGGCTTCCTGGGGTGAAGGCATTTAACTCAACTGACAGTTCCTTCACAAGCAGAGTAATCTGTACTTCCCTCTCTGCCTCCACTCAATTCAAATTCCATGGATGGCTTCTCATTCCAAACAAGTAAAACCACTTACAGAACATCTTGGAGCTCTAAGACCTGTAGAATTGGGAGAAGAAAAATAAAGGATACCAAAACGTAAGCACAGATCAGAAAGCGTTAGGGCTATGGGTTAAAATAATGCTTTGCTCTATTTTCAAAAGGGTTAAGGTACGTGGAACCTAGAAAAATGGTACAGATGTTCTTATTTACAAAGCAGAAATAGAGACACAGACGGAGAGAACAAACATATGGATACCAAGGGGGAGGGGGGTGTGGGAGGAACTGGGAGATTGGGATCGACATATATACACTCTTGATACTATGTATAAAATAGATGACTAATGAGAACCGACTGTAGAGCACAGGGAGCTCTACTCTGTGCTCCGTGGTGACCTAAATGGGAAGGAAATCCAAAAAAGAGGGGATATGTGTATACTATGGCTGATTCACTTTGCTGTACAGCAGAAACTAACACAACATTGTAAAGCAACTGTACTCCAGTAAAAATTAATAAAAAAATAAAATTAAATTAAATGGAAAAAAGAAAAACTTCATGGAGTTGTGGCAAGGAGTCAATGAGCCAGCACACGTAAAGTACTTTGGATGTGCCGGCATGTATAAATGCTCACAGTGTCGTTTATTATTATTATTATGCAGAATAAACACCCAGTGCTACGTGGCCAAAAAAAAAAAAAAGGGTTACGGTGAGTAGCAGGGTGCATGTAGACTAAAGAGCTCATAAAGCTGCAAGCAACCAACCTCACTGAGGCATTTTAGACAACATTTCAATGAAAAACGTGGCCCTGCTCCAGCTCAGCCACAATGGGGAGGTTGGAAAATTGCCAGCTGAACACAGAAAAGCAAGTATCAGGGACAAATCTGATGATGAAAAATTAGTACTTTACTTTAGTCCTGGTCAATCAAAACCAATTTTCTTCAAGTATGAATCTAAGGCCCTCTGCATGGATAGGGATGTACTGTGTGCATAAGATGAATACATTTTTACATTGATAAAAAGGCAATCACATATATATATTTTTTTCCAATTCTCAAATAGGCAAATATTTATCACTTGGTTCAACTGAAATCAAGCAACATATGGCTTTTGATAGTTTATATACAGTAGTCATCTGTCAATACGAAATCACCCCCATGACTTCCTCCCAGCTCCACTTTTCCTAAGTACAAGTCAGCCACAAAGAAAGATGACAGCTGGGGTAATTCTTCCATTGTATAACTATAAAAATAATTATAAAATGGCTGACCAAAATTTTATAACATTATAATTGCTGGATTGTAATTTTTTCCTAATTACCTCCCATTTATCTTAATGCTCTCATTCTAAGATTTTTTTAGTGCTTTCCCCTTACACCCATCCCTACCTCCTTGCATCAACGTTTTAGAAACCCCACTGAGTTTAGATACATGTGTTCTAGTTCTGGATTCTGCACCCACTCAGGTGGGAAAATACTCAGGTATTTTCAGGCAAGAGATTCTGTCTCTTTGGGACTCAGTTTCTTCATATGTAAAATAATGGGATTTCTAAATACCCCTTCCAGCTCTAATATGCTCCTCTAAAGCTGTAGACCATTAGCTTCCTTTCACTCACTGGGTCCTGACAACGCAAGAAACCTTTGCCAAGCTCATGTCAGAGTAATTAATTGCACCATGAATGCTGGGGACATCAGGCCTAGCTGTCTGTACATATTTGTATAATGAGGGCAAGCTAGTGTTAATCACAGTCTTTATAATTGTTTCATTTGACAGTTTCAGAGGGTATGGAGAACTATCCATTCTTAGTTATGTTTATATGGCTAGATTGTTAAGAATCTGCGGTAATAAAACGGTTCACATTTTCAGGTACTGTTTCTTTCAAGGGCAAAATATTTGTAGGTTAAAATCAAGAATAATCATCACATTCTAGGTTTTCAAAGACACCTCGGAAAGCAGATACTACAGTTTATATCCTTAAGATAGACAAAGCTTTAAGAGAGTCTTACTGGCCAAATGCTCAAAATGGAAAACCATTTTTGGCTCAGAACTTGCAATAACTGCCCTATACCTATGTGAGGAGACACCACGTTATCAATTACTGTGTTCTTTCACAATCCTCCACACTGTTTCTCCCAGCTCTCTCTTTTCAAGCCTACAAGAGTGTTAATTGAAAACACTGTGTGAAAATGAGAAAGATGATGAGCTCCTAAAAATCCCAAGCCTAGATTTACAAGCTGTTCCCTTCACAAACAGCAGTAGTAATGCCTTTTCTTTATTCTGCAGGGAGTCCAGCCATCTCTTAGAAGTATGGTCTGTTCCATCTGGCTACTCGCTAGAAGGACAGTAATCCTTTCCCTATCAGAGCACGGCTGAGGCTAAAGTATAATAAATTGCCTTGTACAGTTACTATTCGAGGGCTTGGACAAGAAGGATAAAGACTACTGCTTTCGTCTATGCTGCCAGATGTGGCCTCATTAGATAAAGAATCATGGGTTTTATTTATTCTTGCACATGTTGCTCAAGGTCCAGACCATGTTAGAATGTTAGTATGTATATGAGTGTGCTCATGTACCTGCAAGACAAATAAATAAGGATCCAAGCCCATGACCAGCCATTCTAAGGAGCATATCCTGCTATCCACTCTTGTTTTAGTATTCATATATGGCCACTCACTGTATGGTCCAACCCCAAGATTTCCACACAGTTTATATGTCTGCAGGTATGGAACAATTTAACTGACCAAAGGGCTGTCAATTTTGTGGAATGACATACTAAAGGGTACCCTATCTCTACAGGAATTTGAGTGATGATACCTGATGACTGACCATTAGTACCAAAAAGTTTATATAAGCAGATCCCTTTGGGAAATGTACTTTTTTCTCTTCTAAAAGGATGCAACACATACTACTAGTCATTTGTTGAATATGTTTTTAAAAAGCTTATTTTCTCTTTCCTCTCTTTCTACTTATTGAGAGTTCATTTATTTTTTAATATATTTAAACAAGGCATTAACTGTTTCACTGTAAGTTTAGTCCACATTAACATTTAACATACTACAGTTACTCTGATATTGAGTGATAAATGAAAAGCTTCTTACTTATAGAGTCTTGTACACATACAATGTCTCACTGACTATTGTAAATTATCATTAACTTTACAGGGGAAAGGAAGCCTAGCAATTAAGTGATATTAATTTTGTTCTATGTGTTGTTTGGGGGGTTGTTTTGTCTAAATTTCTCACTCACCCTTCAAAGCTCTTTGGGAAACTAATACCTGAGAATACAGCTCATAAGTGACAAAGCTGGAACTGAGGTCCAACCACAAAAATCACGCTCTTTCCATTAAGCCATGTGGAGGCACGCATGAGGAAAAACTATCTTGATTCAGTTTTCCAACACTATTTACTACATTTAGCAACCATGCAACAGGAATCTTAATCAAGTCTCCAACTCACATATTCAATGTAATTCCAGGGTTTTACTAGTATTGATAAAGTCTAATGCCATCTTATTTTTGATGACACGCTGGCACGTACGAATCATGTCAGTGAGCACTCACCATTCCCTAACGATCAAGCCTGTTCACAACTTCTCGAACTGTAGCTATGAAGTTTTCATTGTCTTGGGGATTAGCTAAAATAATACTGTGCAGTCTGTTCATATAGGAGTCGATAGTGTCCACTGTAGGTGTCTCTCCACTTCCTGAAGTGAGATAAGAAGAGAAAGTAAGAAAATCCTCCCATTCAGTTCAACCATAACACAGATCAGTGATTCCACAGCAAAAGAAATTTGACTCTAATGTGGTCTGCTCCATAGAGAAGATTTTACTTTCAGAGGAGAGACTTTTAGACCTCAAAGAAATGAAATTAATCCACATACTCTAAATAAACAGATGGGCTATAATTGCTGTGCAGTATATAGGAGTAGTTGCATAGCACAAAAGGTTAAAGACTCTCCCAGCTCTGCTGTAACTATTTCCAAAATGAAAGAGTATATAAGAAATACTATGGGCTTCCCTGGTGGCGCAGTGGTTGAGAGTCCGCATGCTGATGCAGGGGACACGGGTTCGTGCCCTGGTCCGGGAGGATCCCACATGCCGTGGAGCGGCTGGGCCCGTGGGCCATGGCCGCTGGGCCTGCGCGTCCAGAGCCTGGGCTCCGCGGCGGGAGAGGCCGCAGCGGTGAAAGGCTCGCATACCGCAAAAAAAAAAAAAAAAAAAAAAGAAAAAAAGAAATACTAGTATTTATTTTCCTTTTCCTTCCCATTAAGACAATATTACAAAGCAAGCAAATATACATCATAAAAATGCTCTGGGGGGATGGGTAAGTTGGGGGAGGGGATCGAGAAATAAAAACTTCTAGTTATAAAATAAATTAAGTCATGGGGATGTAATGTACAGCATGGTGACTGTAGTCAATAATATTGTACTACATGTTTGACAGTTTCCAAGAAAGTATATCTTAAAAGTTCTCATCACAAGAAAAAATTTTTTTGGTAACTCTGTATGGTGATGCATGGTACTAGACGTGTGGTGATCATTTCAGTGTATACAGATAGCGAATCATTACGGTTGTACACCTGAAACTAACACAATGTTATATGTCAATTACACCACAATTTAAAAAAAAAAAAGAAAAGTGCTCCACTCAGGACTTTAATATTACTCAGTTTCCACTGTTCAGAATATCAAATTAAGCTTAAGAGAAAGTAGACTGTATGAAAATATAAGTGAAGAAAAATTTAACTGAGCAGAGAGCCTGAAATTCTGGATGATTTTAACCAATACTGAGATTCTATTACATGGCCACAAAAACCTCTGAGGAAAAGACCCCTGAGTTTACTGATTTTCCTCTGGAGGTGAGACTTCAGCCTCACCACACCAGTACCAACATGAACAGCACCTCCCCCACCCCTGCCACTTTACAGGGCTCAGCTAGGGATGACATTACCAGGCAAGGGCATGCTGGCGAAGCTGCTTGTCAACACCTGCCGCAGGGTCTCCAGGTGCTGCTGTAAGACGGTGTTGCGGCTCCGCTCCTGGATCACGTCCACCTCCAGCTTCTCCACCGCTGTGCGCATGCTCTCCACATGCTTTTGCAGGGCTGCGTTCCTTTCCTCAAACTCCATGTTGGATTTTCGAAGCTGACGGAGCTCTGCCTCCCGAGCTGAGGACAAAACCCCCACAAAACACAGGTAATACCAGCCTCTCTGAGGAGTCCCGACGACTCTTACAGGAAGTCCTGCTTAGCTGTCTCTAATTAGCTACCCCTCCTCATGTCCCTATTCTCATTATGGCCTTCCAGATAGCAATTTCAGCAATAAAATGCCTGGCTCCCCAGAGTTACTTTAATTCTTAAAGCTGGTCATATTCTATACTTAAGATTGTAAGGAACAGCTGTAATTCCCAGTATTTGTTTGTTTGTTTGATTTTTTAAAGCTGTGCAATGAGAAGCCTGAGGGGTTCCACAAGGGGATCCTGGGAGACGGGGCAAGCACAGCTGTGGGTCCACATCTTTACTGCAGTGGGGTCAGCTTTACTCATATTTATTTTATATTTTGGACATCCATGTAAGCTTTCATTTGTATAAAGGGTTCTAGGCTAAGAGCCTGAAAGCAATTGAATTAGTGATGTATATTTATTTCCTCTGATCCAGAGACTAAAGCAGCTTTGACAACACTGGCTCAGCTGTCCTCCACGGGTCTCTGAGTAGCTGCTTTTAATACAGAGTGAAATGGAAGCATTCTTCTTCTTCCAGACCAGTCCCAGGGTCTGGAATATCACTACCGTTGCTTTTCAGCAATGAATTCCTCCCGACAACTAAATCCCCTGTCATAGACCTGAGTAACACAAAACGATCCTTTGGTAATCACCCTTGCTGTGGTTCAGGAATTCCTCTGTAAATATAGGGATGTCAAAAACAGACCGTTCCTTTACTTCTGCTTCTTTCTGTGAATCAAGAGTAACAAAATAGTTAATTCTTAAACAGAAGCTAAATTAAACAGTAGTGCCTAAAGGCACAATGGTCATGTTTTCCTTAAAGAAATAGTAGGATGAGCAGGAATCAGTCTAGGTGGGGCTGTGAGGAAAATGTATTGACCTTTTCTTTGGAAACAAACTTTCATAGAGCTCAAGCAGGTCAAATATTCAGATCTCTCAGGTGACAACTGCTGTGCAATGAGAAACCTTAAAACAAACCTACATAAACTTCCCTAATGGAGATTTTGGAAACCATTTCTTAGCTCTGTGCTTTGAATAGTCAACAGTATACAGTGGAGAAAGTAGTTGAGGTAGGAATATAGAAAGAGAATTTCTAGGTGTTTTTTCTGTTGCTTCTGTTGGTTATATACATAAAGTGTTTTCTATACATAAAGCACTTTATATACATGTATATACATGTATATACATTTATGTATATACACTTTATATACATAAAGTGCTCTCTGAGATAGGATTATGCAATCTAAATTTGCAGAGTGGACAATAAGAATTTTAAGCAGAGATCTGCCAGCCATGAGCAATAATAATGGTATTCCACTGGGATTTCTACTTTTACTTCTACTTATTTACAAGGGCAGCCTATAGTTGGGGATCTTTTAGACTTTCTTCAGACACAGGAAAAACAAACAAACAAAACCAAAAATCCAGAAATAACTGGGCTCTAAGTATGAAAATGCCAAGGATTATGTGAGATAGAAAAGAATAATAAACCTAAAATGAATTCACCAATAAGCCATTAAAAATAAAAGTCTCACAAAACCACTGCAAAATATATTCCACAATGATCCTTGTGAATAAAGTCAATATTTCAAAATGCTTTGGCTGCAGTTTCTACAATGAATTTGAAGTTGAAAGCATTAAGAACATAAATTATAAGTGTCTTGGCAGTATTTAAAATCTTGCATAATATAAGATGGTAAAGAGAACAGTGGGAAATGAGTACTGAAGAAATTGATAGTGAAATCTGAAGATTCCAAAACCTTTATAACATAAAGAACAGTTTAAAAAATCTAGAAATCATTCCTATAGAAACACATTTAATGCCAGAGATAGAATGTATCTTTCCTACTTTTGCCACCACTAGTCTTTTATCTTTGAACACAAATATGATTTGGGGCCCAGTAGAAAGGTTAAACACTTAACAGCCTATGAGGGAATTCTGACAGCCAAGATCCTGTTTTCATACTGGTGTCTGCCTCCTTAGGTGTCAAGGGCTGTGCTGTGTGAGCTGCCTGCCAATGGCATCTGATCAAGAGAGACGTCTAAAATGGAAGTCTGAAAAACAATGTATTTACCTCAAGACACTTTCACAGCACTTAATTTTTACCCTATCTTTTACCTCTTAAAGAAAGAAAGTGAAGTTTTTCAGAACAATTTAAAAACAAACAACAAAATTACCATTGAAAGCCCCAGTTTCAACATGCAAAGCTCTACCTCTAGCCAGCTCTTGGTGGATTTCAAAGAGAACTAATGTATGGACAAGAAAGGTTGGTTCCAGAAGGTATCTTAGGCATATTTCTCAGTGACTTTCTCTCTACTCTGCTGGCTTACCATATTCTTTAACTCTGTTACTATACAAGACATAACAGATATAAGCATAAGTCCATAAATGACTTAGGATAAGGCCTTATGATTTTATCATCCCATCTTATTCAGTCTCTTAGTTAACTGCACAGGCTTATATGAGATCAGTTTACCTAGCCATAGGTCTGAATATCTGCCAGTCAGATGGGTAGGTGGGGATGCTTGGCTCCCATCACCATGGTACCGAGAGCCCTCTCCAAGGCCTAGATTCTGCTCAGATGGGTAATTCTGCTCTCTTCCCTGCCAAAGCAGTCCAAACCAAACCAGGCTAACTACATAAGGGCAGAGGACAGCACCACATAGGTGCATTAACACACTGCCTTTTGGTGTAGATTCTAGAGTGCAAAGAAAGAAACACCAAAGCAATTAAATGAAACTGTTCAGTCTCTGAGAGGCAACAGAGAATTCTACTTAACTGAAGAGTGGTCATAAAAACCATCAGCACTCTTCCATTACTGAGTACATTACTTGGCATTGGAGAGGATCCTCTTGGGGGCTCAGATATACTTAAGCTGCTCCAAGGGTCACTCAAGGGATTAAAATCATAAGGATTTCATTACCTCTTCATTGAAAGGGTCTAATTTGTTCAGGCTGAGTGTCATTTTGTCATTTCCCATAAATTAAAGGAGAAACAAAATTATTGTTTCTATCTTAGTCCTCATATGAGATTTAGACACTTTCTTGAGAGTAACACTAGCTGACTCCTGGGTCTAGCAGGCTGGCTTTTGATTTGAGAGGAGCAAGAATACTTTTCACTTTGGTTTTCATTCTATATATTGAGTGGAGGGTAAGAGAACAGAGGCCTTTTGAACTGAAACTATTTTGCTGTGATCTAGGCTCAGGGCCAGAAATTCATAGAGAGTGATATGCTTCTCTCAAGTGCCCTTTACCTTAAGGAATGCTCTTAATATTGTGTACCAGGCTTAAGTGCCCCACTGCTATGCAGAATGGCTTGAATGGCTTTCAGGTCAGCATTTCTTTGGCTCTAATATGCTCTCCAGTAACTGCCTTGGCAACAATGTCTTAGGAATCTAAGTTCCATTAGGGAATACAATAGGTTTCTTTACTACATACACACAAATCAAATCGTTTCTGTCTCAAGTGGCAACAAATTTTGCTGACATAACAGGCAACCTGGCCCATTTTAACTTGCAACACTGTTTATTCCATATAATGTGGCAGGTGCTGCCAGGACTGCTAAATAAGATGGGGCTACAGAGGCCCGGCTTTCAGTCACAATTCTGCCTCTAATTAATTCAATAAGTGACTCTGGGAAGTTCTTTCCTGTCTCAGGCAAGTCATTTTCCTCACTGGCAAAATGTGGGGGTCAGTTGAGAGGATTTCTGAGGTCTTAGGAGTTTTGAAGTGAGCTCGAAGACTATTTTATGGCATTTGCCATTTTATTCCTAATAGGATAAGTAAAGGGAAATAAGCATGTTTTTAGAAACTGTGATGTTTTAGGCACTTTGCAAGGTACTTGCTCTTTCATTAACTTCCTCATAACTCTGCTCAAGCCATTTTACATATATATATATATATATATGAATATAAATATATCTGAAGTGCCCCACAAAACCTGGGTCATCTTTAAGGTCTGATTCAGTTCCTCCTTTCCATGGGGGCTTCTGTGGCTCCTTTTGTTTTCCACTTGTAGTGTTTTCTTATTTTTCTTAACTCTTATTATACTCTAAGAGGTTATGTGTAAATATGTTTAACAATCGTCAAAGAGGTTTTTTTTTTATTGCAACTCTTTTGAAATTACCTAGTTTAGTAAGATATTATTCAATAAAAACTGATAAAGTGGGGGACACTAACTGGGTCAACAACCTTACTAAGAGAGCTTTATCCTGATGTGGGCATACAACAGATTTATAGACCCTACTGTATACACATTTGAGAAATTACTGCTGGCTCTCCACCTACTCCCTCCTTTTCTGTGTTTCACATGAGTCTAATCCTGAAACAGGGAAATCACATAGAGACATTCCTTTTCATATATCATAGAAATTCATATCATACTAAATAATGTATATAAAAAAACCTTCATTTCTCAAATCAGTAGCAGCAGCTTCTATGACTAAGTCTACTAAATCTTTTCTGATGGCAACTATTAACTTTATAAGAGGCAAAAATGCCACATATGGTTTGGGCAGTAAAATCCACAGTGATGAAAGGAGTCAGTCATTGACTAGAAAATGTGAGCTCTAATATTTTAGATTACTGTTCATACTCTCTTTTGTAACCATTAAGGATAGAGAAGCTATAAAGGATGCTTAATAGGGAAAAAAGGAAGTTTGGTAATTTAATGTTATTGGTGGGTTGGGCACATAAAGGAAGGAGAAATAAGTAATTATATAAGTATTTGGCAATATGGAAAGCTTGCAACACTATTCAATTATGATTTAAAATATATAGGGTACATACAGTTTCTCAAGCAAAAAAAAAATAAGATTTCATCTTAATTGAAACACAGAGATGTCATATATAACTACATTTATATAGGATTTATATGAATAATAAAATGCTAATATTTACTATGCTTCTCACTTTCTAATTCATGGATGGTAATAAATCTATTTGACTTGTGAATCTAAAAGTCTTCTCTATGTTTTGAAGGTCACCAATACCAAATTAGGTATGAGAACTACAACTCCAAGATAAATACATTATTATTTTAAAGAAATGATTTCCTTGATTTAGTAAAAAACCCAATACATGCAAAAGAGTATATCAGAAAATTCTTTTTGTGTAAATATCCATTGTTATTTCAACAAATGGGTTTTGTATAGAAACAAGTTAAGTATTTATGGAAGAACTCTTCCATGCAAGGGCATCATGCTAGATGGGATGCGTACAAGATGGAACTAGACCATGCATGCCTTCAAAGAGATTATAATCCAAGCATGTTAATAACAGAAGCACTTGAAAAACTTTGGCACCTTAGCCAGATCAGCTAAGTGCATAAGAATAATATAGAGAGCTGTGAGGTTTAAAAGAAGTTGGAGGAAACAGAAAAAGCTTGAAAGGGGAAATGGAACTTGAAATAGGGTTTGATGGATGACTAGAATTTCGAGGCAAAATTGGATGATGGGAGAGGGTAATAGAAAAAATGAGTGAGGGAAAGAAAGTATTCTCCTGAAAGGAAGAATATGAACACAGGCATGAGGCAGAAAAGGATGGGGCACCTGGAGGACAGTGAGTATTAAAGGTTTTTAAGTACATGAGATATATATGGGAAATATGGGAGTTAAGGTATTTGGAAAGGGAAATTGGGGCTTAATTACAGAAAACCCTGATTGCTGAGTTTGAATGTGATTTGGTAAGCAATGAGGAGTCACTGAGCATTTTCATGCATGAAATTACCACAAATTTTATTTTCTTAGAACCATATATTAATCATAGGCTACATATATATTTAAAGCTCTCTATGCAGCAGAGCCAACACACACAGGCCTCAGTCCTATACAGGAACACAGGTCTAAATCCTATTGCTGAGACTGAACCAATGGAGGGGAAAAGGCCAGTAAACAAATATGCACCAGTGAGGAAAGTTGGCATAGTAGTCAAGATAATGTCACTTGTGGTTTGTAGATGCTGTAAGTTGAATAGTTCATTTTAACTAAATGCTGGATTCCCTAAATAACAACTTTTTGAGAGTCAGAGTGTAGTATCTGATGATGATAAACTATGGTCAAGTTATAGCTTTTAGTTGGTCCTCACTTCTATACCTCACTCCAAATTCCAGCCATCTTCAGCATTTAAAGCCAATAAGATTCTTGGACCATAAGAAAGGACTAGAGTTAGGGGCTTTAATTCAAGGACAGACTCATGACATAAGTGTCTGCCATATGCTAAGAGTCCTTGAGCTAAAGGCAACTAACCCAATCCTAATTACAGGATAGGAAATACTCTGCCATTCGTTAAAAAACAGTCCAATAGCATTTCAAATAGCATCATTATTATATACATATCACACACACACACACACACACACACACACACACACACACACACGTTATGTAGACAGAAAGTTAATTACCTCATGATCATGAGTGGCCTGTCGGGCTGCATCTAAAAATATGATAGAATAAGAACATTAAGCTGAAAAACAAAACAAAATAACAAAACCTAAGGAAATGACTGTGCTAAGCTACAAAAACTGCTGGTATATGTGGGCTCTCAAAACATTATCATATTTTCTCTCATAGGTTTATTAATCAGTCAACAAAAGCTAAAGGGAATCCCATCTTACAGGTTACACAGTTAGACACAAGAGAAACAGCAGACACAGTTCTTACCTTTGAGGAGAACAGGGTGGGAGAGTGGACCAGGAAATACATGCCAAAGGATGTTTGCACAACATTACAGTTTAGCAGGCAAGATGCCCAAATGTGGAGAAGACGCAATAGCTCAGGAATGACAAGCTACTATGAGTGGGGCTTCTTTCTTTGGCAGTGTTTCCTGAAGAAGGGAAACTTTTAGCAATATTTTAAGAGTGTGATGAACAATTTTAACGGAAAACAAAAGATCCATGAAGACCGGGATCTTTTGTATCTTGTTTACCTTTGCATCCTTAATGCCTAGGTGAGATCCTGATATGTAATAGGAGGTGTTCAATACATTTTTTTTTTTTTTTTTTTTTTTTTTTTTTTCTGTACGTGGGCTTCTCACTGTCGTGGCTTCTCCCGTTGCGGAGCACAGGCTCCGGACGCGCAGGCTCAGCGGCCATAGCTCACGGGCCCAGCCGCTCCGCGGCATGTGGGATCTTCCCAGACCAGGGCACGAACCCGTGTCCCCTGCATCGGCAGGCGGACTCTCAACCACTGCGCCACCAAGGAAGCCCTCAATACATTTTTTGAATACACGCATACATGAATGAGTGAATTAAAAGGATGATTGATCACTGGAAGCTGGGAGAAATGATCACATGAAAGGCTTAGAGGTGTTACAGCAAGGTGGTTATGTAGTGTAGCAGACAGATTTGTTTAGAGGTAGAGAAATGACTAAATTGGAAATAGAAGAAAAAGCACAGACAACTAAAAGGGGTCTTGGAGCACAAGCCAAATTGTTGATACTGGATATGGAAACCCAACTGAAATTTCTAAATGAGAGCAATGTGATTTTAATAAAATTCCAAGATGATGCTTGTAAGTGAATGTAGTATAATAGAGAAACGATAGAAACATATCTTTTATATTCTCACTCTAATACTTGGCTTTGTGACACTCCATCATGCAAAACAAACTACAAATACATTTGGTTCTGGTTCTGATACCTTGCCTATGAGATTTGCCTTTCTGACGGTCCTGGGTTTTCCTACTGAAAACCTTGTAGGCCTCAGTCTTCTGATACTGCTCCAGCTCCTTCATGTAACGCTCCTTATCTCTGTCTGCTTCATCAAGGTAGCGCTGGGAAAGAAATATGGAATTATTTTCAAGAAATAGGTCTTACTGAGGTAAAATACCAATGAACTCTTTGAAGAAAGCAAAGGATAATTAGCACATGGAAAGAAAAGTACAAGTGGGATAAGCTTTGAGAATTAAAAAAAAAAGTCATGTGAATAGAATAAAATATAATCTCTCAGTTATAAAAGAAATAGGTGATTCTAACTTTTTAGACTACTGCCTTTCTTAACTTATTGAAGACAACTTCTATTGAGGTCATTCTCATAAAAAATTCACAAGAAGATTATAGTTCTACTAATCCTATAGATAGAACTACACATGGCCCTAGAGTCCTCAAGAAGACTGAACACCACATAGACACACTTAATCTTCCCAGGGGAAAGGATGGAATATTACTTTGTTCTTTATCCCCAACCCACTCTGAGGAGATGATCTCATACATCAATTGGCCTTTAAGAGCCAGAAGAGTGGAGATATAAGGAACATAAAAAAGAATGACCTCACCCTATGGACCTAAAATGGACTACTATGAGACAGCCTGTATCTACATGCTTTGTGCTATTAATTATTTAAACAAAGTTCATTGATCTACTATGACAATTTTGTTTAATGCCTTGTACTTTTCATTCATCGTTAGGTTTAAGAAATAAAGTATAAAAATACTCTTCTAAATAAACACAAACAAGAGTTAGAAATTATGTTAAAAGCCTTGTCCTACACAAGAGCCAGATGTAGGGGTCAAATGGCCAAATCTGGGACAATTTAAGTATCAAAATACTCAAGTATAGTAATAATTTATAAACCATTGGGAAAAAAAGAAATTCATATGCCTATGCCAATTTTAAATAAATAACAAACAGATACAAAAATGGAGGGAGGAAGAGGGCTCCTGCTTAGATTAGAATGCTGAAGGGCAACTGGCAAATGTGGAGGGAGTGCTAGAGTTGGAAAATCATCATTTTGCAACCATCATGGTAAATATTAGATCAGGCAAAAGTTATTAATGAATGCTAAATCTAGGGGGAAATTTTGATATGGAACAGACTATTTGAATGTTCTTAAAATGTCTCTGCACAGACTACTTATTAATTATAAGGGAGAGTAAAAAACTTCAGTGAGTGAACAAAATTAACATTACGAATAAAAGGAATGAGGAATGAAGAATAAAAGACATAGTGTGCCTGCATATGCGATACCCTGAGAAGGACCAACGTCCACCTATGCAGTATTCTGACCAAGAATGCATAACCTCAATCTAATCATGAGGAAACATCAGACAAATATAAAATGAGGAATGTTCTGTTGAAAGTAAACAAAAAGGAGCGGGAGGAAGAGGGAGAGACGGTATTCCTAAAAAAATATCAATGTCATAAAAGACAAAGAAAGGCTGTGGAAATATCCCGGATTAAAGGAATCTAGAGATTTGACTACTAAACTCACAGCCTGACCCCTGGACTGGAATCTGAACTGGAGGGGGAAAATGTTACAGAGGAATGATTTTAGAGGTCAACTGACAAAACTGGAATATAGATGGCAAGTTAGATAAAAGTATTGTGTTAATACAAAATTAAGAGGTTGTTAACTAAACTGTGGTTAAGTGAGAGAACATGTCTATTCTTAGGAAATTCACATTGAAATATTTAAGGGTAAAGGGCTATGATGTATGTAACTTATATCAAATAATTCAGAAAAAAATTGTGTGTGTGTGTGTGTGTGTGTGAGAGAGAGAGAGAGAGAGAGAGAGAGAGAAAAGAGAAACCACATGCCCAATCTTGCCCAGGAGAGTATGAGCGCATGTGCGAAAAGAGAAAATGTGTTAATAATAGGTCAATCTGGGTAAGGGTATTTGGGTGTTCTTTGTATTATTCTATGTTTGTAACTTTTTGTACATTTGAAGAATTATTTTCAAATAAAAATCTAAGAACAAAAACAAACATGAAAACCCTTGCCCTGCCTAACTAGTTAGTTATCACTGTTGGTTATCCCTGGAAATGACTTTTGCTTTTTTCCTTATATACTTCTGTATTGTCTGAAAAAATTTTAAATGATGAGCGTGTATTAATTTTGAAATAAAAAAAATTAAAGAGAAAAGAGTAACTACTATGTACAGCTCATAATCCATTTATACATTAGAGCTAAAACAATGGATGATATACTCTGTTTTCTATTTGCTTTTGCTACCACAAACACAGAGCTTCAAGTTGCAACTCAGTCTGATCTCTTTGAAATTTTTTGAATTCAGTTAATTCCCAAGAGGATTTTTCAATTTGCTTTTAGTTTGTTTGGAATCCTTTTTAAAGAGTGTAAGACATAAGAGATATATAGACATATATCAGATACTGAAAATGCTGGGAACTTTTAACCCCTCCGACAATCCCTACGATCACACCACTTTTGTGGCATTTCAATCAGTTCATGGCTAACTTGTCTTTAATTCCTCTCAAATCTAACAAATAGATTTGTTTCAGTTTGGCAATAGGGTTAGTTTCTGTCTTGGAGGAAAGAGAATTCAAATAGTTCTTGCTTTATTTTTCATAGTAGGTTAAATTTGCCAGAACTCGAGTTTAAAAAGTTTATTAAAGCAGTAACATCTTTTTCTTAAACAAAATTCTTATGTGAATATCAGAATTTTATCAAAAGACCTTTTCTCATTTAACTCATGACTTTTCACTTAACTCGGCAGAATAAACCATGTTGATAGATTTCTTAATATTGAACTACTTTTTACAAAAATCTTATATGAACTCTCAGCATATAAAGCAAATAAGCAAATAAGCTCCGCTAGCTGCTTTGGTCTGGGGGGGATCCTAGAGTCCCTCCTGCTCACATCCCTGCAGCAGACCCTGAAAGAGTATAGAAACCACTGTGGAGAAAAGAGCTATGAAGGACCCTGCTATTCTGGTCTCCTAGGCCCATGACAAACTTGAAGAATCAACAGTCCATTCTCTTTGCTTTTCTGACAAAAGTTATTTTTGAGATATAATCAAAACCAAGCAAAGGATCAGGAATAGGAACAATTACCTGTTTTTCCTCCGGAGGAAGTTTACTCCATTCATTGCCTAACATCCTTGTAATTTCTGGAAATGGGACTTCTGGTCTTTTTGCTCGAAGCTGTTCTCGACGCTCATTCATGAACCGAACATATCCTGTAAGGGGGGATTTGGGTGCATTGCTGTCTCGAAGAGGTTTCTTCCTCTTTCTTCCTTTGGACCAACCTCCTCGTTTACTTCTTTGCTACAAAACAAAAAAAATTAAAAACCCCAAACCAAATTACAACAACAAAAATTTCCCCAAATAACACAATAATCAACACCAACAAACAAAACAGGATTAATAATTGCATTTTGCTACCATTAAGGCCCTGGATATTCAAAGCTCTCCAAACCTGTTATAGGTACAAATGGCTGCAATGCAGTTTTCAAGAAGGGACCCCAGATGGTTCACCTGCAGACCTTTTTATGTACCATGCTACACAATGTTACACTAAGGGGCTATTTTAGTGCTAATCCCAACAGATAAGAATAAGGGGTACCATGATCACATAAGCTCTGGCCTTCATATTCACTTAACAAATCCTGACTCCTGACAGGGGAATATTCTAAATGAGAAATGCAGCACATATACAGCACTGTGCCAGGGAAGCAGACATTGCTACAGTAGATCAGAACAAGATGCTGTCACAAGCACTGGGCAAAAGAAGAGGAGACAAGTTGTAGTACTAGGATTAAAATCATTCATGAAGGGTGTTTCTCATTGATATCATTCAAAGACCAGTTTATTTCCCACAGCAGATAGCACTATAGATTAAAATTAATATCTAAGACTTAGAAAAATTTCAGCAACTATAATATATCCAAAATGAATACTAGTTCTTTGGCTTGCTGGTTTATTTGTTAAGATGTTTATTTTATAAAGGCAGAGGTCTTTATACGTTATTAGTTAAATCAAAAGACAATATCGCCCCCCCAAAAGTTTAAAGGACTGAAGTACCACAATTGTTTTACCACAGCCTTTTTCTTTGTCCTTTTTTTTTTTTTTTTTTTTTTTTGCGGTACGCGGGCCTCTCACTGCTGTGGCCTCTCCCATTGCAGAGCACAGGCTCCGACGCGCAGGCTCAGCGGTCATGGCTCACGGGCCCAGCTGCCTCGCGGCACGTGGGATCCTCCCAGACAGGGGCACGAACCCGTGTCCCCTGCATCGGCAGGCGGACTCTCAACCACTGCGCCACCAGTGAAGCCCTCTTTGTCCTTTTAAACAGGATGCAAGGTACTTTTACTTCATAATTTTACAAATACACATAGCCTATCAGTTAATAAAGTTTTATGGATACAAGCATTTTTATTTCAGAGAAGAGAAAGATAAGCCAAATGGGACAAAAATATCTAAATATTAATTACCATACTGCACTCCTCTAAATATACATAAAATGGTACAATAATTCAGCATTGGGCAAATGGTGTATTCGGTATCAGTTTTTTTGTTTTTCTTTTTGGTTTTGTTTTGTAAACCTAGTAACATTTAACATTAAAGCTACTAAGGATTTAAGATGTTTCAGAAGCCTTAAGCATTCGTCATAATCTTTAAGAATGCCAACATAAAAAGAATAAACTCTTTTAAAATAAGAACAAAGACAAAAGTCAATGGTGGTACTCTTTTATAGCTAAAAACAAAAAAAAGAGTACCTTAAAACATAGACAATGTAATCAGTCATTTGTGAGGAACACTGAAAGTCCAACAAGGGAATGATGGCCCAGGTCCATACAGAACCTCTGTGTGAATTAGAAAAAGATGCCCCCTATGGGACAATGAATGACTTGGTAAGTCGTGTGAACCCTTTGGGCACATTATGACTCCATGCTGCAGGGTTTGGTGAGCAGAGTGTGGTCCTGAGTAAGGGCATGCGGACTCCTCATTAATTACTTTAAAAAAAAATAAATTTATTTATTTTATTTATTTATTTTTGGCTGTGTTGGGTCTTCACTGCTGCACGTGGGCTTTCTCTAGTTGCGGCGAGCGGGGACTACTCTTTCTTGCGATGCACAGGCTTCTTATTGTGGTGGCTTCTCTTGTTGCAGAGCACGGGCTCTAGGTGCGCGGGCTCAGTAGTTGTGGCTCGCAGGCTCTAGAGCACAGACTCAGTAGTTAGATAGCCCATGGCTCACGGGCTTAGTTGCAGCATGTGGGATCTTCTCAGAGCAGGGCTCGAACCCATGTCCCTTGCACTGGCAGGCAGATTGTTAACCACTGTACCACCAGGGAAGCCCTAATTACTTATTTAATTAAATCATGCAACTCATTCAGTAAGCATTTGTTGAGCATCTAATCTGATGCAGGTATAAATTTTCTAGGTAGGGGAAAAAGAAGAGTCTACTTGTCTCTGTATCATTAAAACCATTAATATGGTTCTATGTGAAAGAAGAAATATAAAACAGAATATTCTGCAGAATGTAAGGAGGCCAGAGGATGAACACCTCGGTCAACTCCCTTGCTGACTGCTTCTTCAGAAGCCTCAGAGACCAGTAACAGGAGGAGATGCTTCAGCTTACCTCATCTTCATGCCTCTGTTCATTGCCTTCTGCTGTATTTGAAGACTCATTCTGAAGCAACTGACCTTGGGAGAGATCCTCAACAAATTCTGGATTATTTGTGGATGATGAGGCTCCACTACTATATGGAACCTCTGGGTGGGTTATCCTGAAGAATGATAGGCAGAGTGGAAAAGTTCAGTATCAACAGCATCAAAAACTCCTACTTACCAAGGTTCAAGACAAATTTCACTGCCAGCAAAATCACATGCCAGCCCTTGAATTAATTCCCCCACCTCATTCTGTATAAATGTAAACAATGTCTCCATAGTAATTATAGAGCATTTTAAAAAAGGTTTCAGTGCTTGATTGGATCAGGTCAGTTCCATGAAGAAATCTCCTACTAAAAACAACTATAGTCTTTCCCCCACAAATTACCTCTCCCCTCAACGTAGACTTTACATTGTAGTTCTGAGCATGCAACTTTTATATGCTAGTTTCATGTATCTCCTTTTCATGTAATAAAAGGAAAATACTATTAATGGAAAAGAACAGGAATGGGAGTTGAAGAGGCAGTTCACCCCCCTATCACAAAAGAGAGCGTTCTTTAAGGGCATAAGAAATATCTCTTATGGTACATTCCATAGGCTACTCCTTGGATTATAGTGTTTATTGACAATGAGATCATCTAAGAACAATATTATCAAGTTCAGTAAGTTCAGGTATAAATGTTCATAAATCAGAGATATACATTTTCTGTTCCTATCATTCTGTTCCAGATGAGTCAGCAAACCCGATCTCATCCTTCTGCAAAGTGGACACGAGAAGGTACAGATGATGGTTGGATCTTACACTGAGTTATACCCTATCACATTTAGATAAAGGAATGGAAATAAAAGTAACACCATGCGCTAGGGAGTTTGGGGTTTGGGGCAGGTAGTGGGTAAGGTGGAGGAAGATGTACAAGAGAGTAATATTCAGTCATTATTCTGGAAGAATGTATACTCCACAGGGTTACAGAAAATACTTACAATGCAATGTAAGTACTGAGGTCTGTAAAATGTGCCATAAAGGTACAGTAGAGGGGATGAGGAATTTTATATGTATGGAGAGAATGTTAAGAAAGATTTTACAGAGGAGGTCTTAAAAGATGAAGAGGCATTCATCAGGTAAACAAAATTATTACAGGTAGAAAGAACAGGGTATAATAGGAGAAAGGGAAACTCTTCAGGAGGCTACTGCAATAGACTAAGGGGGAGACAAGGGCAAGCAGGAGAATAGGGGAGAGAAAGCTAAGAGATAATTAAGAGGTAGAATGATAGATCGAATATAAATAGGGAAAAAGAAGGTTTCTAGATTGGGTGATAATGTACTATTAATCAATGTAACAACTGGAGTGTGTGTGTGTGTGTGTGTGTGTGTGTGTGTGTGGAAGAAAGACAGATGAGAAAATGCTAAGTTTGAAACACTCATGGCATAATTAGGTGGAGCTGTCCCACCGACAACTGGAAACATGCCCTGAGAGAACAGAAGTGAAGAAAAGGCAAGAGATATTTTGGGATGCATCAGCTCATGGAAATAATGGGAAGTGCTAGATATTCTCCAGAAAGACAGTGAGAAGTCAGGATAGAACTCCGTTGGAACAATATTTTAGGAGCAAGTGTTAGACGAGCTGGGAAAGACTAAGGAGGGTGTTAAGAAATCTAGGAGAGAATACTGTTACAGAGGCCAAGGCAGGAAGACTTTTGAGAAGGGGTTATTACACAAGCAAAAAGTTGCAGATGTCACATAAGATAGGCTAAAAAGTATCTGCTAAATCTGAAGATCTGAAGGGCTTCAGCTGTACTCCCTGTACTTCAAGGGAGTACAGTTTTAGTGGAGTTATAGGAATAAAAACCAGATTACAGTGGACTGAGAAAAGAATGAAAGCAGATATTCAGACTGTCCTTGAAAGGACAGAAATTTTATTTCTCTGAACACTTCTATAAAAAATAGAGTATTACAACTAGGAGGTTCCTACATTTTTGAGGTCCTGTGAAAAAGGGTAGATAGGAGAAGTTATTAACTCAATGCTAATTATGTTCTCTGAAGAGTTGCCATTAGAGATCCAGTTTGATCTTGGCAGCTTTGTTTTTCAAATATTTCAATCATTTTGGATGTCCTACAATGTCTTTTCTTTCACTGTCATTCTTCATTTCAACTGTGCCATCAATTTTTAAGTTACTAACTCTTGCACATTCTTATTTCAGTAAAATATGAAAACGAGATTTAGGAAAGAGTACCAATCCTGTGAATCCCTTGACTGAAATGGATAGGAATCAGAGGGAGTGGTCAAAAGCAGCAAATGCCTTAGAGATGACAAGTTGAATAAAGACTGAAAAAAAAAAAAAGGCTCCTTTGTTCCAATGAATGAATTGTCCATGCTCTTAGCTAAAGCCAACAACCCTTCCATTTGCACCCTGGATCCCACACCCTCTAGCCTACTCAGAAACAAGTTTCAGCAATTCTGCCCTCTCTGGCATCACCAATTCTTTCCTCTCTACTAGATTAGCTTAATCAGCAAACATATGTGGCATTATTACTCTTATCTGGAAACAAAACAAAAAACACACTTTCTTGATTCCAGTTCATTTTTCTCCTTTCCTTTATGGACCTGACCTGAGGGTGGTATGTTCCAAGATCCCCAGTATACTGAACGCTGTTTTCTGTTCTGTCTTCCACACACAAATTTAATGCCTTTTCTATCTTAACTAAGCACTTATCATGCACTGTGTCCATAACTTTTGCAGTTTGAGATGTGATAGCAAAACTAGCATGAATTTCTTTTTCCTTCTTCACAATTTCGCAGATAGAAGATTCATTCTCACCATAGATCTCAGCAACCTCAGCATATTACTTTTTTTTTTCTTCTTTCCTTATTAAGTCAAGAACTTTCACCTTTTCACTTAAAGGAAGCACATTAGGGATTCTCTTTGGCGTATCAGAATTGCCAGCATCACTACTCTTGCGCTTTGGGGCCATTATTAAGTAAAATAAGAGTTACCTGAACACAAGCACTAAGATACTATGACAGTCCATCTGATAACAGGCAGCTACCAAGTGACTAACAGGTGGGATATGCTGAGCAATGATTCACGTCCCAGGCAGGACACGGTGGGATGGTGCAAGGTTTTTTCATACTATTCAGAGTGGCGGGCACTTTAAAACGTATAAATTGTTTATTTCTGAAATTTTCCATTTAATATTTTCCAACCATGGCTGACCGTGGCAGATAACAGAAGCCACGGAAAGTGAAACCATGGATAAGGGGGTACTTACTGACTTCAATTGTTTATAGTGGAAAGAATTGTTTATAGTTATTGACTTCAATTGATCTCCCTTCATTCTTTCTTAAACCCAACCCAAAGGAGATAAGTGTCCACAACTCTTGTCAAGGCCACCAGTGACCTCCATGCTAAATCCAATGTCATTTCTCAGACCTCATCTTACCGGATCTTCCAGAAGTATTTGACACAGTTCATCTCTTCCCCTCCCTTGAAATATATTTTTTACCTGGCTTTCAGGACCCTGCACTCCTCTCTTTTTTCTGATACCTTTTCAGGTACCCCCTTGAGTCTTCTTTGCTGACTCTTCCTCTCCTCCCTGACTTGCAAATGCTGGAGTATCCCCGAGTTCAAGTGTCAGGTCTCTTCTCTTTTCTACCTAACACAGTGCTCATTCGTTTGATGATCTCAACCAGTCTCACAGCCTTAAATATCAGCTCTAATATGTTGATTGACTCCCAAGTTTCTCTTTTTAGTGTAGACAGCCCCTAACTTTAGAGCCCTGTATCAAGCTGCCTATTTGACATCTCTGCTTGGATAGCTAATAAGAATCTCTATTTTAAAATCCCTAAAACCGAGCTCCTAAAATTCCCTCCTCCACTTGCTCAGTTTTCCCCATCTAATTTAATGGCAATTCCGTCCCTTCAGTTGCTTAAGCCAAAAATTTGGAGCTGTCTTTAACTGCTTTTTTCTCCCTTCTCACGTCTCATCTGGTCTTTCAGGCAAATCCTGTTTGGCTTACCTTCAAAATATATCTAGAATGCTATACTTCTCAACACCCCCCATTCCTATTATCTTTGAAACCCACTCCAGTGAGCTCTTTGTCCCTACTACTCTGCCAAAAATACTCCTGTCAAAGTCACTAGTGAAGTTCTTTGAGTCATCATCTCTCACTTGAATTATTTTAGAACCGTAACTGGTCTCCTTGCTTCAGCCCCTGCTCCCTTCACTCTATTCTCTATATAACAGCCACAGGGATACTATTTTAAAATGTCAGATCATATCATTCCGCTCAAAATCTCCTCATGCTTTCCCACCTCACTCAGAGTAACAGTTAAAAGTGCTTACTCTGACCCATAAGATCCTACACGATCTAGTCCCTTGCTACTCAAAGTACCAGCCTTACACCAGCAGCACAGGCATCATTTGGGAACTTATTAGAATGTAGAATCTCTGGCCCTAACTCAGACTTTTTGACTCAGCGTTTGCATTTTAATAAGATGTCTAGGCAATTCATAAGTGCACTGAATTCCGAGAAACACTGATGGAGCCTATTACCCCTCCCCCTGGTATACTCTGCTCCAGTCACACTGGCCTCCTGGCTATTTCTAAAAGGCAGAAACACTCCTACCTCAAGGCTTTCCCACTCACTGCTCCCTCTGCCTAGAATAATCTTCCCCCATAACTGTAGGCTAGCTAATTTACTTCCTTCAGGTTTTTATTCAAGTCACTTGTAAAGCCTTTCTGGGCCATCTTATCTAAGATGGCACCCCAAGCCCTTCCTGTCCCTCTTCCTTCCTTTATTTTTTAATCCATAGTTCTTATCAATGTAGTATGCATTTTACTTATTTATCCTGTCTATTGTCTGACTTCTGCAGTAGAATTTAAGCTCTATAGGGGTTGGGATTTTTGTCCATCTTGGACAAAATGAATGTCTAGTGCCTAGAATGGTGCCTGGCACATAGCAGACACTCAGAACATTTTTATTGTACAAGTTGGACTCAGCAAGTAGGCAGCTTTTAGAAAAGTTTTAGAGAATAGTTTCATCTGAATAAAGTCAGAAGGCAGATATTAATGATTTAAGAAAGAATGCCAGGGAAGGAAACAATTATAAAGTGTAGTCTGTTTTTAAAGAGCTCTAAGGAATATTAAAATAATTCATCTTAGGGATTAGCTAGCACTTCAATCTATTAGTGAATACATTTCTTCTTTGGCAAGTAATGTCTAATAGAAAAGATAAAAATTCAAGTGGAACAGAGATTTTCAGTGGAAGAGGGACTACTGCTATTAGCCCTTTTCTACATTTCTTTATATATCTGTCCAAAAATACCAAAGAAAGGAGTTGGAGTCGGGGGGAGGGGTAGGTTGGGAGGAACAGAAGTCAGCTAGAGCTCCTAGGCATCTTGAATAAAAACCATAATTAAAAATCTAATCTTAAAACAACAACAAAAAACCTGATGTTTGGCGAAAAAATTATTTTAATATCTGTGGCAATTTAGACAGAAAATGAATTTGATTTTCGAAGCTAGCCCTGTGGCAAGTATTTCCTTAATGGTGACTATGTAATTCTCTTAACTGGGAGTCACTGATGTTTCCTAGATCCCACAGTACTGCTGTTCCAGTTCACAGGAACCAGAGCATTGCAAATGACAGCTGAATACAGATATCAAAGCAGTTTACAATGGCTCTCATTCTCTTTGCAAAGCATAACAAACGCACCTTCTATTTTTGATATAAAACTGCCTCTTTAGCACCTCATATGTTGTCAGAAGCTGTTCTGAAGCCTAGACAGAGGCCCAGTGTCCCAAAGCAGCTGCTTACCCAGTTGTAGCCAGATCATTACTCTCCTTGGAGCCATCTTCATCTGCAAAAAGGGGAGGCAGGGTGGAACCAGTCATCAAGGTTTCCATCTCTCTAAAAGGAAGACAGAATAAAAAAAAATTTAATGGCTTAATTATTTCCAGTTCAAGTTGCATTAATTTAAGAGTCAGCCTTCTTTAACTTTATCACATCAGCAGCAGAATAGAAACTGACCTAAATATTTATTTTCTTGACTTGGACACATCAATTTGAACTTTATGGTTAATGGGCTTTTAACCCTGGTCTTATCAACTGCCCAGACTAAAAACAGATTTTAACAACCAGGACACAGTTTGGAAAATTCCTTTTTGTTCATTCAGAATATCTTCAAAAGTATGCTTCATTTCCGGTAAAAACTCTTAAGCAGAGTAACTCAGAAGCACTGCAACCCTGAGCAAGTTATTCAGCCTCTTTGAGATACAATTTCACCATCTTAGACACAGACAAAATTGCTGACTTAACTCACAGGGTTATTGTGAAGGATTAAACTGCAAGTGCTTCATAAACAGAGAAAGGCTAAGATCGTAAGTGCTTTGAGTATTATTATATAAAGAAAGGTATTGTTATTACAGCATTACGAGTTCTTAATCCCAGATGAATCATCCTTAGATTAAATGGTGACAATCTGAGTCCTCCAAAAGGAAATAATGCAAAGGAAGTAGAGGATGGAAGGCATACTGATGTGGTTCAAAATGAAAGAAACCACACTTCCAGGTCAGAAATATGCTCCACATCACCATGATGCCCAACAGTGGAAATAGCATGCACCTGGGCACAGGAAATAACTAAGCCTAATTGAAGAAAGCAAATAAATCAGAAGAACCTGAGGTTATCAGAATGAAAGGATAAAAGGACAAAGTGACAAAGAGAGTAATTTCATTTAGCATATCGCTACAAAGAAAGATTTTTTCCCTTTCAAGGCTTACTACCAGGGGCTTCACCCCATATAGCTAAAAGCAGAAGCCTTCCATTCACCATGAAAATGATATTCAAACAAAACATTCAATAGTGACCCTAAACATCAGCCACTTAAGCGGAACTGCAAACCACTCAAGAAAAAAAGTGCCTCAATCAACTGGGAGAATTGAGGAACAGATTATGAAAATTCACTCAGGAGCTCCCTCAGCAGTTATTTCAGGTGCTGCTGCTAAGGAGACCTAGTGAAATAGCAATTAAAAGAAAAGCACAGCAGCCCAAGCAGAGCTAGGATTCATCCCACTGAGATGGAAATATGAAGAAAATACAGATGACAGTGATGCCATATTCTAAAATGTTCAATATAATAATTTACTTACAAAATGATAACAGTGATGATTTATTTCTTATTCTTATTTTCTTGTTTTCACTTCTTTGTTACTTAGCAGACCAAATTCCATAAATAGCTTACTGTGAAAAAATGCATCTTTGTATATTCACCACCCATTATAGTGGGAGAGCATGGAAGGCAGAGAGGAACTTCCCACTCAACCACAGAGTACGGAGTTTATTCCACATGCAGGGATACTTGCTAACTTTTCAATTCCTTCAAGAGAGGGGGGTTTACAAGGGGCTCTAACAAATACTGCAAAATTCCATTCTAGATGTTTTCTAGGATAATCTCGACACAAGTGCACTTATGTTTTACTTCACATTATGCACAGACCAGATTACGGCCCAGGCTTTAAGGGCTGCTAACATCACCTTACACCAATATTCATTTTATCAAAAGAAAATTAATCAATTAGATGCCATATAATCTAGTTATAAACCACAAGCAAACATTCAAATAGTCACGTATATATCCATAAACCTTAAAAGGACTCATTTAATTGGCTTCTTTCTAAAAGTCTCCTTAGAAGTAAAGGACTTTTCGAGAGCCTCAAGATTCAGCATTGGAAGCTCTTGGCATCCCACCTCAAAAGAAGATATATTACCTGGTGGGGGACAAATGAAGTATCTTTTCATTCACTATACCAACATGATCCTCTTAGAGTGTTTCCCAGATATCTTTAGTCATTTTTGAAATATGGGGAGGCAGCTGGACAACACAACCTTAACAACATATAAATAGATCATATAAACAAAGGAAGTTCAGAGAACACATTTCTTGTTGTTGTTTTTTCCTCTTAAGTGTGTTTTACTCAATCCATATGGCTTCAGATATATTTTCTCTAGTGTTACTGAGTAGTCAGGTCCCTAAGAACTGAGTAATAAAGTGGGTGGAAGGTTAAGGGGCCAAAATCAACAAAAGAAGGAAATGAGGAAAAAGTCCAGTGAAACTCAAAGGCCTCTAAACTAGTTGGGAAAATAAAATGATTCGCAAGAATTGGCTGGGATCCTGCAAGAATCTGCTTTCATATGGTTCATGAGGGGGTGATTCAAACTGAATCACAGCTACCAAGCCACTGATTGCCAAAAGCCCTTCAGTGTAGCATCTGTGCCTGATAATGTCCCAGTACAGAGGTCACACTAAACTCTAAAATTGTATGCAAAGCACTTAAGAAATGTAATGAATGCTGCTCTGGAAGGGGAAAGAAGAGATATATGTACAAAGGCAAGGCAATATACAAGTTTGGTTTTCCACTGCAATTTACAGAAACAGGTATATCATGCAGATGTTTTCTTGCAGAAGGAATTCACCCGGTGAAGGCTTCCACCTGGAGGTAAGTGGTATTACCTTGGGGCTTACACTTTGAGCCAAGGTCTGGACTGTAACTTTGGAAACTCAAAAATCCCCTCTAACACTAATCGCTCACTGAAAACACTGATGTATAAAACAGAGTGACAATTTAAGATATTTTAATAACTATATATAAAATATTTTAATAATTATATAATTATAAAAATTGTAATAAATTTTATTACAATAAATTGTAATAAACATTATATTAAGCCACTAATCATAATCAGAACTTTTTTTCGTCAATATAGGGCCAGAATAAATGCACTCAGGTGTAGCTTAAGAAAGCTTCCTCAACTAAGATTGTTTTAGTAACCTTTCCCAACAAAAGGGATGATCTCACCAATGAGACTATATTATTCCAAATGTGTTGGACAGTGCTGAAAGTATAATTTGTACTTCCGTTTTCTGGGGTTGGCTCTTTTCAGGTACCCTTTCCCCACTTTACATATGTTAATCCCACTTCATTAAGCCCTCTCATAGAGATGCACCATATTCCTTCCCTACCACACCATCCCCAACAGTACACCTCAGAGTTGAGAGGTGGGATTCTGCCCTCATTTTTCCGTACTACAACCTTTATGCAAAATTTCCAGTTCCTTTAAAAGTCATGTTAATTCGCTATACCAATCTCTGATCATTACCTCCTATCATTTCGGTTCTACTACAACTGACCTTTAACCACACAAACCTCTATTTGTCGACTCTTGATTTTCCCTTCTCTGTGTAGCTTAGATTCTGTGGCTGCATTTCAAATATTTTTTTGCCAACACTCTCAATTCCTTTGCCATGTTGTTCTTCTATACCCTAGATGTAGATCAACTCTGAGTTTTAGCTCAACACGGTGTTGGAGAAAAATCACAAAATAAAGGGTGCTACTATAAATTTATGGTATCCAACTATAGCTGGGCCCACAATGCTCTCAGCAGTCATTTTACATGTTCTTAGGTTATCAACTGCCACATTAGCTCTGTCAAAATTTTCCAATCAAATCAAACCTAACTCACTCAAACCCTCCTGAATATTCAGGCTCATCTCTTGAAACTTCTCATCCCTGACTCACACCAAAACCATCCTAAGTAGTTTTATTTTAAAATATATATAATTTATATACCATAAAATTTATTCCTAATTTGTTATACAGTTCAGTGGCTTTCATATATTTACGGGGTGACTTTCACATATTCCTACCAACACCATAATTGATTTTACAACATTTTCATCATCCCTAAAAGAAACTCGGTACCCATTAGCAGTCACTGCCCATTCCCCCCTCCCCCTAGGCCCAGGTAACCACTAATCTGCCTTCTGTCTTTATAGATACACATATTCTTGACATTTCATATAAATTTAATCATATTCTCTGACCTTCTGTGTCTGGCTTCATTCACTTAGCATAAAGTTTTCAAGGTTCATCACATTTTAGCATGTATCAGTATTTCATATCTTTTCATGGATAAATAATACCACATTTTGTTTATCCATTCAAACACTGATAGACGGATAGACTTGGGTTGTTTGTATTTTTTGTCTATAGTGAATAATGCTGCTTAAGAACATTTGTGTACAGTTTTTGTGTGGACATGTTTTCAATTTTCTTAGGCCTATACCTAGAAATGGAATTGCTGGGTCATATGATAGCTCCGTGTTTAACATTTTAAGGAACTGCCAAACTGTTTCCAAAGTACCTGCACCATTTTACATTCCCAGTAGCAATGTATGAGATTTCCAAATTCCCCATACCCTTACCACACTTTTAGGAGTGCTAAAGAAATATCAATTCTACCCTCCTCCAGCTTTCCACATGGACTAAGGGAAATACAGAACTCCAGCCCACTTCAGCCATCCTGTCCCACTGAAAGGGGGAAAAAACTAAGAAGCACCGGTAAAGTTTACAGTCCAGGGGGCACAGGCTCACCAAAAGACTGTGACCTAATCACAGTACTACAGAATGCTTCTCCTCCCCTCACACCTAACCACTACATCACTAAAGGCCTATATACCACAGTTCCTTTCACCCAGGACATCATTTCTACTTTTCAACAAAAATTTACAAGGCATACTAAAAGCCAAAAAACGATTTGAAGAGACTGAACAAGGATTAGAACCAGAGTAAGATACAGCATGGTTTTTATTTCTTAACTTTAAAAAAATTGAAATACAGTTGGCTTACAATATTATATTAGTTTCAAGTGTATAATATAGTGATTAATATTTTTACAGATTATACTACATAAAAAGTTATTATAAAATATTGGCTATACTCCCTGTGGTATACAGTACATCCTTGTAACTTATTTATTTTAGACCTAGTAGTTTGTACCTCTTAATTCCCTTCACCTATTTTAGTCTTTCCCACCCATTCTTCCCTCTGGTAACCACTAGTTTGTTACCT